TCTTGAAACATATTCACGTAAGTTATATATCAATAATTGTTTGCTATTGAATATTGATTCTTAAACCTTAAAATGAATTCATGTAAATTAGTTATATTTTATGTGTTTTCGTTTGTTTTTCATAGGGGTCAAGAATTCTTTTAAATGGGGATAATTACAATTATTTATAAGCAATGTATAATAGGTTTTCTAAATTTTGTTGTGGTCAATTGATCCCCTATGTCTCACGTACCTCCGCCACTGCTACTTGAAATAATTTGTGGTAGGAATAAGAAGGAGATAACGTGTGAAATTAAGAGTTTCTAAATAGAGTTAGATGACAAAAATTAAATATATATAAAAAATATACCATTAATTGTTTTTGTTGACTCTTTCTGTTCTTCTAGAGCACTCCCCACTTTCCGATTTCCCACCGCCCACTTTTACTTTCCGTCACATGCTCCGCCTTTTTATATATTTGGTTATATACTTATATTGGATTATTTTTAGAAAACCATACTCCCTAAAATTACATAAACTCGTTACAGAAATGTTGTTTAAAATAACACGTTACATAAACTATATGAACGAATATGATAAGCTTTTTCTAAAAAATAGAGAGACTATATTAAGCTCATGACTACAAAAATGCAGCAACAAAATCTGAAATCAACACAAATTCATACATTATTGACCATTTCAAAATTTTCATTCGATTTTAATATCTTAAAAAAAGTTTTAAGTTAAAAAGAAAACTCGTTAAAAAAGTCTATTTTAGTTTGTAAGATATTGCTTCATTATTCTAAAATTAGTTTTACTTCAGAAAGCTGGTTTAATTCTGTTTTGGAGTTTTTGATTCTTAAAAAAAATTAATGGTAATTACAATCGGTTCTTTTAAAACTAAAATTTGGTTTAAATATTTCAGTGTTGAATGGGTAACACCGTAACAGTCTAGCGCTCCATATGATCGCTTGACTAAAAAAATGACTTGCCAATTATTTTTGTTGGAAAAAAGTTTTCAAGATCAAAGAAAATTAAACATGGTTAGTTTTTTGAAAAAGGGCTTACTTAGTTTGGTATTAGACTTTTTCAAATAATCTATAATTTCATGGTAGTTTCTATAAAATACTAAACGAACTGGTGTAACTATTAACTGTTTGTATGTCGGGTCCAAATGGTGATGAGTGGGAGTAATAAGAGAAAAAAATAAATAAGAGGAAAATTATAATGAAATTAACATGTTTTCCATCAATTTTTTCTACCGTGTTCC